GCAACACAATAAACTGTTTCAAAACAAATAGCAACACAACAAACTGTTTACAAAACAAATAGCAACACAACAAACTGTTTACGAAACAAATAGCAACACAACAAACTGTTTACGAAACAAATAGCAACACAACAAACTGTTTACGAAACAAATAGCAACACAACAAACTGTTTACGAAACAAATAGCAACACAACAAACTGTTTACGAAACAAATAGCAACACAATAAACTGTTTACGAAACAAATAGCAACACAATAAACTGTTTACAAACAAATAGCAACACAACAAACTGTTTACAAAACAAATAGCAACACAACAAACTGTTTACAAAACAAATAGCAACACAACAAACTGTTTACGAAACAAATAGCAACACAACAAATTGTTTACAAAACAAATAGCAACACAACAAATTGTTTACAAAACAAATACCAACACAACAAACTGTTTATTCAGAGCTGGAATGTACTGTTTTTGGCTCATCATCCATATCCCCAAATAATAAATCAAATCACAACAATAACTTAATTTAATGAACACGGGTTTACGTAGTTGTTTTATTCTTAGCCTTTGTAGACAAGGAGTTATACTTAAGTAGTACTAAAACAAAAATTAGGGCTTCTATGCCGAATACTGGAATGAACAGAAAACGAAACTTATAAAAAAAAAAAAACTTAGAATCATGCATCAATGTGTTGAAAATAGAAGTTTAATATAAAAAACCAAAGAAAACTTAGGAAAATAAAACAGTTAAATCTGTAAAATTCATGTTTTTAGTTAATCAAGATGTTCATGTATGGTAAAAACTCAAGTTTAACAGATAACTTCAAACGTTGGCGGTTCGTTAGTCCGAGGGCCCATTACTCCGAAGGTCCTTTAGTCCGAGGGTCCATTATTCCCGAAGGTCCGTTAGTCCGAGGGCCCATTACTTCGAAGGTCCGTTAGTCTGAGGGGCCATTATTCCGAAGGTCCGTTAGTGCGAGGGTCCATTACTCTGAAGGTCCGTTAGTGCGAGGGCCCATTACTTCGAAGGTCTGTTAGTGTGAAAGCCCATGACTTCGAAGGTCTGTAGTGCGAGAGTCCATTACTTCGAAGGTCCGTTAGTCCGAGGGTTCATTACTTCGATGGTCTGTTAGTGCGAAGATGTTTTTTTCTTAACAGTTAAAATGTTAAATTGATTGTTTTGTTAAATTTGTGATATTATACGACAAAAACACCCCAGGAGACGACCTAGAAGGTCATGAATGGATGGATAATGTTTATCATCATTAGCTGCATAGTTCGCATATTTATGCATCAGGATTGTATTTGGTAATCAAGCTCTTTTGAAAGAATGGACATTCAAGATTCATATTCCACAGTGCTGAAACAACGAATGTTATATCCCCGGCTTTCAGTCAGTACAATTATCCTGATACCGAGCCAATGCAATGAGCTGTACACTACCATGTTGATTCAAATATTTCTGTTGTTTGTATTTAAAACGAGAGCAAGCCTTCAGGGCGGTTGGTCCCCCACCAAAATGTACCCTTTAAACTTTTATTTGAGATTGCACATTCATCTGTTATGGGCCTATGAATTTGTTTATTCATTCAATTTTGACTTATATTGCTAAAACCAAAAATCTGTGAATAACGGGCTTTAAGAGTACTGGGCGGCCACCCTTCAAACTGTTGAACAAAAACAATTCAGATAGTTTGAAGTTATTTGATAATACGTGGGAGGTGCAGAAACCAAGTTGTGTTCTCCATTTTTTTTTTAGTATAAGTTATGCTGGAAATATTTCCTTTTATCTTTTAAAAGTGTGTGTTTATAAACAGATTTCAGACAAGGCCACAAACGGAACATAAAAGACAAATAAACACATAAGACAAGGGCACAAACTACAAAGCGGTAAAGATAAAGTGGTTTTAATAATAGAGTTAGTTATCTTAAGAAGTAAGCCCTACTTATTGGTGGAGATAAACCCCCGTCTCTGGATTTACTGGCAAGCCCCCATATGGGGGAGAGCTAAGATGTAGTTTAGGTGATCGAGCCTATAAAGCTGAATGCCGCTCAGTGATTAGCATGCTGGACTTTGTTCCATAGTTTGCGTCCTGTTATTGCCTGCAAAAAAATTGCATTCTGCATTTTGGGATCATGGGTGCGTTATAAGAGCGACTGTCAGATTACACTATTTTGTCTGTTCTAATAACCTAAGGGTTAACAAAGGATACTGTTGACTAGCTGCTCTCCCTCCAGTTGATCTGGCATGACTCCTGTCTTACAATGTGTGGGTCACGGGATCGAAACTCGTCGCCGAACATGCTTGCATTTTCAACCGTGCGTTAATTATAATGTGAGGGTCAGTCCCACTATTCGTTGATAAAATAGTAGCTCAAGAGTTGGCGGTGCGTGGTGTTGACTAGTTGCTTTCCCTTTAGTATATCAATTAAAAATGAGGTACGGCTAGCACAGATAGCTCTCGATACTTACAACAGGGATGCCGCGGGTGATAAGTGAAACTTGTTTTTATAAATTTGACATTCAAGCCACAGTGGTCTCACAGAGATGCTTCTTCACTGTTTCCTGTTTTTTCTGAGTTACTAAATGTTACATATGTAACAGGGAGTTTACAAGTATTAATTTCTTTATTTGATAAAGCAAGTTGAAAGGGATATCGCAAAGCTTAGGAAAGTGTATTTATTGTTCGTTTGAGGCATTAATGAAATGACTTGAGATGCTTCTTCACTGTTTCCTGTTTTTTCTGAGTTACTAGATGTTACATAGGTAACAGGGAGTTTACAAGTATTCATTTCTTTATTTGATAAAGCAAGTTGAAAGGGATATCGCAAGGTTTAGGAAAGTGCATTTATTGTTCGTTTGAGGCATTAATGTTTTTTCTGAGTTACTAAATGTTACATAGGTAAGCTTCAAATGCTGAAGATTGAAGAATGGAGACATAAAAAATAATTTGTCACTGTTCAATCACTTCATTGTGTTGATGTTTTTATGTGGACTGAACTTCACAAAAATTAGCTAACTTTATATATAATGCTATAAATGATAAGAGTAAAGGTTTTATACAAGGAATTTGTAAAATGATTAAAAAAAACAAAACCTAGAGGAATCGTTCAGTATAAGGGAGAATGTTGTTCTCTCTCTCAAGATGTAAAAACTAGTCTGTTAGAGATGTTATGACAACAGGAGCTAATGAACTAACTGTATCTATGTTGGGATTAAGTTGGTAACTCAAACACATAGTTGAAGTTGCTATTAAGCAGTTTGTACTTTTCAGTTGAGGTAAGGATACCATCAGATACAATCTGATTCACTGTTATTTTTTCTGGAAGTCGAAATGGACATGTAAGGAAAAATGTGGTAAATATTATAAACTTTAAGGCAGTGTTTTCCAAACTGTGGGGTATGACCGTTTGGTGGGAGAGCCCAAAAAATAATGAAGGAAGAAACAGAAGAGTTGGAAGCAACAAAACTATAACTTTGGTCCCAAAGGTTTTTTTTTTGCTTTTGCATTTACTCACTCCTCATTAAAACAAATAGTTAAAAACAGGTATATCTTCCTGCTTAACATGTTTTTAGCATTAAAGAAATATATTGTCATCTTTTTTTATTCTTATTAACATATTTCACAATATTGCATACATAGTACCAAATGTTTTTGTCGCTCCTTAGATGTGCTTGTAGGCTTATTTTGGGTGAATTCATCCCTCTTCTTTTCACAGGCAGAAGCCCGACTAGCGGCACGTAGGCAGGCCCGTGCTGAAGCCAGGGAAATCCGTATGAGGGAATTAGAAAAACAACAAAAAGAGGTAACTAATTCAGTTTGTAGTAATGCATAAAATTTCAAATGTTTAATTTGAATTTTCCTTTTGTTTCTTCATACGTCTTGATTTTTAATAATGTTATTGCATGAAACAAGAATGTGCTCATGTGCAGCTGAGTTTATAACTTTTATCTAATTAATGTTTGTTTTTATCCAGTTATAGAAGTATTTCTGATCACTGGAAGTGCTTATTATGATTTGTTTTCAAGTGTGTGTGTGTTCCCTTCTTATCTCCCCCCCCCCCTACCCAAATACTGCTATGGCAGAAATTATGCCAGTTTTTGATATTTCATTTGTTTAGATATGTAATAGGGAGCATCGGCCAGTGAAAACTCGCGTCTTTTATAAAAAATAAATCACGTGTAACAGTGTTCCGGTACTGTTTCAACGTATATCTGTGATTTTCTTCACATCTTCTTTGGTGTAAACGACATCACTAGAAATTACTTAGACGCGCACGTCAGATTGGCACTTTTTGGTCACCTGAGAATTACTTAGTGACCTGCCCAGAACCGGCTCAAACTGGGTACAGTAAGGACAGATTGGCACTTTATGAACACCTGAGAATGACCTAGTGACATGCCCAGAACCGGATCAAACTAGGGACAAAAAAGACAGATTGGTATTTTTTGGTTACCTCAGAATTACTTAGTGACCTGCCCAGAAACAGATCAAACTGGGGACAACAAGGACAGATTAGCATTTTTGGTCACCTGAGAATGACTTAGTGATCTTACTCACTGTCTACACACACATTACATTCCTTTTTCCGTCACGTTGTCACCCTCTTTTATATACCCGACTACCCTATATCTAGTAAATACTAGAGCATTCGCCAAAGTACAGGATAGTTATAGAAACTAGAGGGCGCCACACCAGTCACGTGACCTCGATGACGCAACAATATGAATAGCCTTTGGAAGATTCTGGATTGCTTTCTATCATGAGAGAAAGACTTCGTTTGTTTAGTAAACGTTCTTCACAAACTTATCACTGTGTGAACTTTTGTCGAGATGTCTGTTTTTCTTTTCGTTTGAACTATGTAGGCTTTGTGCGATATTAAACTGTAAATGCAACATTGGAATAAGATGCAACATCTTAATTTGAATTGAGAACCTTGAAATTTGTTGAGTTTGGAACCGGATATTTTACAACAAAGGATGGTACATTTCGTTCTCCGACAAGTGAAAACAAAACATTAATCCGAGAATTAGCGATGAGTATATTAAACATACGTTTCTAAACTACATATGAATTAAATTTCTCATGGGTACACGACTTTTTTAATACAGGGCCTTTAATAACATGAGTCACTGAAAAAAATTAAATATACCATTAATATTGTGATTAATTCCAATTTTTATGGGGAATTCTTTAAAGTGAATGTTGTAATAGATACAAATATGATTACTGAAAACGTTGCAATTTGTATTGAACGATATAAAACAAGTGCATAATTTGAGGGTTAATGTCCAATTAATGTTCCAAGGATAACTGTGTTGAACATAAGAAATCTGGACGGTTAAAAGTGCTTCATCTGTACCTGGACGTAAAGCTGACTGGCTATAAAGGTCACCTAGAATTAGTATTGATAAAATTCTCAAATTTACAAATTAATTAACAATCATAACTGTTGGAAATTCTGAGAACTTGTGAGTGAAAGTAAAAAAGAATGTATAACAATATGTCAATCACGTTTTGTCTGCTATATCCACTGACGACGAAACCTTTCGCAGTTATACCAGGACTCGTCGGGCCGGCTGGGATAGAACCTCAGTAGAAAGCCTGTTAGAAAAACTGTTGGAAAATTCTGTATTGCTTTCTGTCATGAGAGAAAGACTTCGTTTGTTTAATAGTGGTTAATATGATATTTGTATTATCATACTGCATGAACAACGAACTATATTAATTTGGTAAAATGCATTATTACAAGCTATTTAAAAATAGGGTAAGAATTAACAATAGAGTTAACGCAAAACTTCACATTGGAAGTTTGATCCGGTTCTGAGTAGGTGACAAAGACATTCAGGTGACCACTGAGAATCTCTTAGTCACAACAAAAGCCCTTATTGTCCCTAGTTTCATCCGCTTCTAAGTGATTCTCAGGTGATCAAAAAGTGCCAGTCTGTCCTTGTTATCCTCATTTTGACCCGGTTCTGGGCAGGTCACTAAGTGATTCTCAGGTGATCAAAAAGTGCCAATCTGTCCTTGTTGTCCCCAGTTTGATCCGTTTCTGGGCAGGTCACTAAGTGATTCTCAGGTGATCAAAAAGTGCCAATCTGTCCTTGTTGTCCCCAGTTTTATCCGGTTCTGGGCATTGATCTGCAGTCAGAAGTATTATTGAGCACGTTCGTTGTTATAGCGTTTGTTTTAGCGCGATTGTTGAAGTTGAGTGTATCGTTAAAGTTATATTCGGAAAGAATAAACCAGTTTTATTAGAAAGGACTTGTGTCGCTAAAGTTTGGTCGGAACGAAGTTACGGAAAGTTAATTAACAAACGGAGGCGTAACAATATTTAGTCGTTTATCTGGTCTGGAACTTCCTTGATATCTTATCGCAGGTTCAGATGAATGAACTAATTTTGAGTAGATGTAGATACAATTCACTTAACAGGGAGCTAGCTAGCTCTGTGTTCTTTGGTCTTCGCAGGCCACACGCCGATTTATTCACCACTAAAGTTATATAATGTTTTCGTAAAAATACTAATGTCCAATGTGAATCCGCTGTAGTTAAATGGTTTGTAATATTCGAAATCTATAAACGTTCCTGGTCAAATATCTGAAGCTCCCGATTAATAAGCGTTATAACAATCACAGTTATAGCTTCCGAGGTTTATAGCATACCAACTATAGCAAACCAATTCATATATACTGTCATTTGGCGCGTCACGTTGATTATATTTATAGGCGTGAGGAGAGTTTCTCGAAATTCCAGCTTACACAACAATATAAACGATACACAAGTGTTTACGTACACACATATATTGTTGATTCTTACACTCGAGAGTTTTCTACAATTTTAGTGAATAGGCGGGAATTTCGCAATACAGACTTAACAGTATAAGTTATGTACATTTCTAAATATAAATTTATTGAAAACAAACATCGATATTAAGATATATATATGATAGTAAATCCATCACACATTGTACTTGCATTTTGGTGGACCTCGACAGTGTAGGGGGGCAATGAGCTGGTCCCTGGTATTGAAAAGACTGAAAAATGCTGCTTTAATGAATGAGTTGCAGCAGTCACAAGGTATGTAAAAGCTTATAGAACACGTTGATAAAGTGCAACCAGAAGTCACAGTCAAACTTTTGGCGCATTGGCTTGACCAGGAATCTGGAGAAGAGACGAACGAAGCAGAAGAGCATGAGAATAATGGTTCGAATCATGCCAATTAATCTGAAAAGGGGGAAGAAGCTGAATAGACTTATCTGGCAGCCCATGACATACCAGTCATGGGAGATTGTGGTGATTACCAGCTTTGACCACCAACAAGATGGTACTGTTGGCTTCCCAATCATTATGGGTGGGATTAATAATCAAAGCTAAGACAGTCATACGTTTGAGCAACCAATGATTGAGAGGAAGTAGCATTTATTGGTTCCTGATCTACTGGGTAGAGAAGTATGGCAAAATGTATGGATTACATTTCTCGATTACTACTCAGTTAGCAAAGCTAGGATGGTCAGGTAGTACGTAAACAAATTACTGACTGGAGAGATGTGACTTGTTTTATGAGCTCTGGGTGGTGCCATGAGTTATCATGTACGTGTTACATCATTTGGTTACCATTTGTGTCACTGTTAGTACAGTTACTGATCTGTACAATCATGGACTGAAAGGGAGTAGCATCCCATAGTTTCTAAGCTGTCAAGTGTTACTGAGGTATAATGTATATACTTCATTGTAGAATAATAATCTGTTGTTTACAATTAAGATGATCATGTGATTGAAAAATCAGTGATTGAAAGAGCATTGCAGCCCTTACTTTTCTAGTGAATTCTGAGTTATTCTAGTGTGAAACACTTGTCATGTTTCGAGAAAATTACTCCAAGCGGCTAGCTGGGTGTTAAGAGCTCAACAGAGCATGCCATCCTGTATTTTCCAGATTTTATTCCTTGATCTTTGTGGGAAACACGCCAGATGTATGAGGAAGTCTTGTTATATTTGAGTGTGTATTGGAGCAAAACAATAACATCATAAATTTTAATCTTTATAAATAAACTTTTAGTTAAAAAGTCTTAAGTAATCTGAACTTTGCAAATAACTATTTTGTGAAGCCTGGAATATAAATGAGTTGAGTTTGATGGCCTTTAGATGGCACTAAAGTCACTGCAAAGCATACCAACGTTATTGAAGTGGTTAATGCTGCAGCTAGAGGTAAGCTGTGTGAACTATTAAGTACTTGCAAGTGTAATGGTGTGGCATGTGTATATGGTAATAAACATATTTAAACAGATAAACATTAACACACATGTACCAACTACACAAGGAGTATGGAAGTAAGAAGAAAACGGGGAGAAAAAATGCGAATTACTCTTGTTGAACCATTACATTCAGTCATTCGTGAGTTCTTTAAGGCATATTAGCATACATGAACTTATTACACAAGAAGAAGACAATGAGGGCAAAGATTTGATCTAGGCAGTAAAAAATGCAGTGAACTTGCTATTTTAATTTAAATATTTAAATTTCGAAGTTGAAATATTTGACAGGTGGAGAATTTAATTTTTTGTGGAAGAAATAAAAGTAACAAAGAAATTCACCCTCGGGTGAGAGAGAGAGAAAATACAACTTTACCTGAGGTTTCTCATAAGCATTGTGTAAAGATATTTTAAATTGATTAGGATGAAACATTAATGAGTGGGTGTTATTGTAATAGTAAATAAAATTCACAGAAAGTAGTTTATATATCATGACAAATATTTACTTGGTGTACCCGGCACTTAGATGCTTTTAGTAAGAATATTTTCAGTCAAGCAGATTGAAATATGATCAATAAGCACACAGTTTTATAAATATTATATTTACATTGTTTCACTACAAGATGCAGTGTTCAAGTTTAGAAATGCAGACTTTAAGTGCACTAAGGTGAAACGGGAAGTAACACCTCTATGGTGGAAAACTAGTACACTACTTTTGAATGAAAGGAAGTCCCTATGGAAAGACAATAAAAGCATTAGTGAAGGCCAATGGTAAAAGGTAATAGTTAGCACCTCCTTACTCGATTCAGCTCCAGTGTGTGTGTAGGAACCTGTTGTAGTATCAACTCCATACCTTCCTATTGGAACTAAGTGTTATCTATGTGAGAACCACATAATAGGAAAAGAATGAAGCTGGGTTGGAGAGGTTGGAGTATGTTCCCATTGTCTGGTAGGGATAACAGAAGGCAGCATGGGCTACAGGTAGTTTGTGACGTGAAGGCTTGTGAGTGTCTAGGGATTGGGAAGATCTCAGGTTATCGAAGTAAACATTCTTTGGGCAGTATAGGGCATTGATACACATGAAGCCTAAACATGTAATACATGTAGCACTCGATAAACACCTTCTTTCATAGAATGTATTCTAAACCACATGATACGACCCTCATTAACCTATATATTTGGCTGAGCCTTTGATCAATTAGAATTTATCCAACATTACATTTGAAACTAGAGTTTTGGTATTTCAGGTCAAGTTCTAGCCATTATAATTTCAGTGTTCTTACAAACTTTTTAGTTTCTACTTAACTGTGGATTATTCAACTGTATCATTGTCTTCATGCAATGTCCCAAAGCAGGGGCGGATTGGCCTATCGGGATACCGGGACTTGTCCCGGTGGGCCGATAGTCCAACTCAATTTTGGG